GGAGGGTCCACGGGAAATTTACGGGGTTTAATGTTTGATTAATTTCCCGAGCGACTCCGCTTCCTAGCCGTCTCTAACGTTACCAGTCTTCTAACAACTCGGGGTTTTAGTGGCGCGTTAATTACTGACCCAAGAAGGTTTGCCAGCATTGTTTTCACAACTCGGTAAACTGTTGTCGATTTTGTTTACCTTCAACGTGCTTATATACACAAACATCCTATATTATTTAAAGTTAATCGTTAAAATTATTAATCATTTCGTCGATTTTATTAAATGTAAAAAATTTTGTCATAAAAGTGTTGCAAAATATTAGCTGTACATTCGTGATCAAATCATCCTTCCCTGTAGACATCCGGAGGGGAACTGACGTAGGGGAGATGTCCCCTAATATATAGAGTCTGAGGTACTATCACTTGCGGGTAAACGCTTACGCGGGAAAATTTAAGTTTGATATATTGTAATAAAAATACCAAATTAATTTGTACATCTAATACCCCTTACGACACATCGATTTGAAGTTTAAGACCGAATAAAAATTAATTTTTTAAATAAAATACTGTTAACTATAAATTACAATAAACACAGAAAGTCTGGTGATCTCGATTGAAACGTAACAACACCTTTTTCTCTCTTCGAGGCTACCAATCTCAGTTACAAAGCGAGTGATCTCATTACAGTTAAAACGTATCCCGTTACATATGTACACGGTTAAGGTGTTAGGAAGGATTGATTCGCGTTCAAAGAGCGACGATGCATCGCGTCATTAAACCCACAGTCTAATTTACTTTCCCCTTTGGTGTTCCTTTCATTTACCTTTCCTTCTGCGGGCCAGCGTAGTCTAACGCGAATCTAAATTAAATCCTCCTGTGAAAAGGTGTACACAAGCGGAGGACAGGTGAATGAAGGTGGAGGAGCAAACGTGTAAGCTTCACATTAACCGCAACCACCACATTGTGCGCGTCACTCGTTGCACACTCGTTAAGCGTGTTGCCGGTACGCGGTCGCGCAGAATGTTGCGATTCAACCACGCCAAGAAGCCATGAATAAGCTGTATTATACTTAGGAAGGTAACTGAGAGCCTCTGTATTAACGCCTCGTAGTTGGAAAAGTCATCGGCTTAACGCTGGATGAGACAACGAACGTTCGTCTACCAGCCATCCCGTTTATTTCATTTTATTTCTATTTCAATGCCGTGATCGTATCGCGACGATGCTCGTCGACATTCCGACGATCGCGATGAATTTTTGCCGTCGAACCGGTGAAACGGCTCTGTTTCAATCGTACCAAGCCGGATGAATGAACGTTTCAGAGATGAGGATCGAATGAATGCAGAGGTTTTTAACGTAGGTCGCGGCCAATGTAAATGGAAAACAGCGTGGAGGGAAATGGTTCTGGTTTCTGACGAGTGTCACTTACCGAGTCTCGGTGCTTCCCTTTAATTTCCTCGAGAATTTCGTGAAAGAAATACGACGAGAAGTTTCGAGCGTATCGTATTTTTAAAGGACATCATTTTTCCCTTCAGTTAATTAACGATTTGGCAACGAAATTCTATTTAATTAATTTTGGTAAATGCTGAGACACATTTTTATTTATAAGAAGAGGATTCTATTTTATTTGATTGCTCGATAGTTTCAGAGATATTGAACTATCTGCTATATGTTGTATACTTTTTAACGTTCCTGTACGCCTGCGACTATTAGCTGGGTAAATAATCGCGCGAATTTCTATTTCGCATAGCGGTCATGCAAAATTGCGGGCTAAAATGGCATCGTTCCAGCTCATTGCGTTGAATTATGCGTCGTTGGATCGCGCCACCCTCGGAGCCCGTACGGTGTTACAAAATTAAATAATTACAGGAATCGTCGTGACGAATGCTCGCCAAGGGGGCCAGAACCTTAACGATTTTCCTGAATGTTCCAGAGAATCTACACGAACGAGTATTCAACAAAAATGTTTCTATTATCCAGGCGTTAACGCGGTTACTGTCATGAGATCAGCTTCAAATATTATACAATTTAATTATTAGGAACATAGACTAAAAACTAAATATTAATCAAAAATAAAAACCTAAAATTTGGAAAGAATTTCTAATTGAAAAAAAATTTCTATTTCTAATTTTTGTAAAAATTATTGAAAATTGATTGAAAAATAAAATTCAAATGAGACGCTGAAAAACAGGAGAAAATCTAAAAATCAGGTTCTTGAAATCTATAGTTTCACGAGAAGTTCGCTTTCGAGACCTATCACCAAGCTGTCCAATAAACTGAAAGTTCAATTCGCTTTCCTGACGTCTTAAATTTATAAAAGAAGGAAATTTCCAAGTTGCTAGCCCTCAGCAGTTTTCTGAAAAGAATTTCCCTCGGTGACGACGATCTACGGTTCGAGGGTACCGTCTTAAAAATCAAGAATTATTCGAGAACGTAATTAAGATTTCGGATAAAAGAAGAACAGCCTCGTAATTATGATATGGAAATGATAACTCATCTCCGTTCCATTTGTCTGATCAATTATTGACCTTATTTCAAAGTTACTCCCTCATTCCGCTTGTCTGATCATCTGCACATTAAATCTACTTCTCCCGCTTCCCAAAACGATCTTATTTCCTTTGGTAATATTTCAAGCATCAATCTTCGTTTTTACTCGATAATCCCTTTACTATAACGATTTTTAAAATCTACTAGAAAGAGTAAAAGGGAATAAACTAATCCTTAACGAACTTTCACCGTTCCGCACGGTACGGGATTATCTCCGACGTTGAACTTCGAGATTTATTGCAATTTATTTAGACAAAATAAAACTCGGAAGTTGAGGAACGGAAACATATTAAATTAGCAATTAAATTGCTAACGATGTTTAGCTCCTCTGGAACGATGTTTATTTTAATTAAAAATTGTTACTCGTTTAATTGAGATAATTCTACAATGAAAGGATTTGAAATAATTTAACCCTTTACAAATACTTTGACAAACAACGTAACGATTATTCTTTCTATGTGTCGATAAAATTACAAATAGAAATTATCCTCGGAATACGAATTTAAATCAAGAAAAAATAAAATCCAAGCCCTTCTGCGCGATGAATTGAAAAAAATTCTTAAAGGGTTAAATCACCCGCATGAAATGCCAGAAGCCTCTTCAAAGGCTCCTGCACCGCGAAATCGGATAGTTTCAAGAATCATAACGATGATCGTCAAAGGGAATCGCAGTTTCCGCGATTGATGCGCTATCGCTTCGTGGAAAACCCTTGATTCCAAGGGATACGAACATCCGAGCCCGTCAAATCGCAAAGAATCCTGCTCTTTGTCACCGCCTTTCGAGGACTTTTCAGATTACCATTAGCCCCCTTTCCGGGACGAATCAAAAGGCATAATTCGGTAATGCTCTCTTTAGATCGGACGAAGCAATGGTAGCGTGTAAACTCGGCCGACTGTTCGTGCAAAGCCCCCCTCCGAAAGAATACGCGTCGACTGTTAACAAAGTTTTAATTAATTTCACGTCAAAGGACGTCCGTTGTCAGACAGCAACCGTGTTACGTGTGACGTCGGGTCAAGGCTCGAAGTTTCTTTATATTTGCCCGGGGTGGAGGCCTCGAAAGATCAAAGTTTTTTTTTTTTTCGTCATCCCTGGCCAAGAATACTTGGTCGATTGTTTCGAGTTTTGGGTAAAAGAAACTTTAATGTCACGGGAGTGGTCGGATCTACTGGAATAATTAAGAAGAAACGATAGAAAAGTCAACCTCGATATGGGAAATATTTCCATTCATAAGGTGATAGAAATAAAAATTAATTGAAAGAAAAATCGAATAGCTTTTGATGCTCTATTTGAATATCAAAAGCTCCCTCTGTATCTTCTATCATCGAACAAAGTTCGCGCCAAACTATTAGAACATTTCGACCCAATTGTACATTTCCCATAACCTGAGATCGCAGCAAACGAGACCGGCAAACACGGTTGATCCTCAATAAAGTCGTCAGTTTTGAAATAACCGGAGGATTGTTCTCTCACAACTTTCCAACAGAATCCTCAGCCCAGTTCCATCGAGCCCGAAACTCAAACGACGTACAATTCACAGATACGACAGCTTCACCCAAAGTCCCCCGGTAATCCTTCGTTCAATCGTTCGCCTCTATAGCCGGCCGCTATTATGGCCATTAATCGTACGTGTACAATCCGTGGATCCTGGATCCCTGCCTAGTCGAGGACAGGATCTCGGGGAATATCGGTAGTGTCGATAATACATTTGCCAGCCCGTCTATACAACGGAACGTAAGCCGAAACTTTCGATTGACTCGACCAAGTCGCCCGCAGCTATGGGATCGAAATAAAGCGCTGTTGCACGGCTTTCGAGAACCGGCTGCTTTCGACCGGGGCGGGAAGGAAGAGGTAAACGGTGGCTGAGACTTAAATCAATTCGATGCATTCACGCTCGAATACCTGGTAGATATATTTTGTACCCTATTATCGGGAAAAGCAATCCACCGAATATCGGCGGGCTTCGCGAAACGGAAGCTCGATTTCCCTAATCGAGTAACAGTTAGTTAACCGCGTCCCTTCCGTGTTTCGAAAATCTCGCGAAATTACTGAATATCGCGAACAGAACGATGATATCCAAGATTTTTATAACAATTTTCCACGTTATTGAGTTTTGTAAATAGTAAATAATTTTGCTTACATTTACTTCAGCAATTCTATGAATTTCGATATTTATTCTAAAAGCTTGGAAGAACATCTTTACTGTGCTGTGAACGAGCAAGGAATGAAACCTCCTGAAAATGCACGCAGAAAACTGGCGCCCACTTTCAGAAGGAAAAATAACGGCCCCGAGCCTTTCAATGTATTTATTACTAAATCAGACCTTTAGGTCTGGTACGGCTCGAAACCCATCAACTCTGGTGACAGAGCTAGACCTTTGTCTGATGGTCAGTGTCCCTCAACGTAAAGATTCGTTTTTGTATGCAGATAATAATATTATTCCAACAGTATTATTATATTCTTACTTACATATCTGCAGATACACACATCCAGCTTTTTAGCGCTGTAGAACTTCAAATTCCAGGTCTCTTATATTTCCTGAAACAAACAGAAAGCTGATATCAGTAAAAGAGTTTCTATAAAAAAAATTATATTTGTACAAACTTCAGCAGTCTATTGATAACCCTTCGCTTTCACTTCCAAAGACCAAACTTAAATTCAAAAATTTAGCAAAAGAAAAATGCAAATCTGTACTTCTAATTAACCCTTGAACAAAAATAAAATATATAATTTTAAAACAGGATAGTTTCATGTATAAAATACTTGTGACTCTCTCCATGGTCCGTCGTCCAAGAGTTAACAGAAACTGTTCATGCATAATATCAGATCGTGACCAAGAAATATCGCTTCCCGAACCGCTATAAAGTGACGTGATTCCGCCGAAGTTTCCGAAGATTCGATAATGAATTTACAAAGCGCCGCAGGAATAGTATCTGTCGTTCGATCGTCATGAAAAGCGAAGATGGGGTTGACAGGCGGTTGCCGAGTCACGGTGAACGAGCGAAATGCTGAGCGGGATAGGTCGGATTCGAAGGAAAACAGAGGATCCCGCGGAAAAATCCCGAGGCGAGATCGTGAACGAGAAAGTCGCGCGCTGGTCGCTGGCACGTTGCATCGACTGAATAATAAATACCCCGAGTCCGGGCACTGCGACCCCGAGAGTGGTCACAGATGCGCTAGGCTTAGGGATGCACTTTACTGCAGTGCAGTGCCGAGCCGTTGCACGCCGCTGTACGCCGCGTTCCTCTATAATGCAACGTATGTGCCGTAAACCAGCTCTTAAGTATCCACCTTTCGAGGCTTTACTTTTTCTGCTTGACGAGATCGTTTCGATTCCGCTCTCGTCGAACGTCTTTCGATACTGTCTACGAGCTACCATCTACTTTCTTTTTCATACTCGAAACGTGTTCGTATAGATCTTTGCGGCTGATAGCAAAGCAGTGTTTCATAACCCCTCTATCTATTATCCATAATTTCATTTGCGTTCTTTATAAATGTACCCTAAGTTAAACTGCGCAGAGTCCTTATTGAATCGATGGAACAACAGCGAAAACAAAAAGTACACTTAAACCCCTCGATTATTATTCAAACACTCGATGTTTTTCTGTAACAAAGAAATTACTTGACCACTGTTTCCCTCGGTCATGATGAATCGTTCACTTTTATCGTGCAATTCGCTGAATATGAAATTAGAAAGCGGCCTGAACGAACGTTAGCGATCACGAAATATTGTGATTCCGATGGACGGTAAAATGAATTTAATTTACATACAATATAGCCCCGGAACGTACCGCGCGACACCGGCAATGTAAAATGTAAAAATGTAAAATTGGGATTAAATGAAAATTTTTTCCATTTTGCTCGACGACCAGTGATACTATGAATTTGATTCGATCAGATAATTAAGAAATGAAAAAATGTATGTAAAAAAAAATTTTTTTTTTCCAATAATCCTATCATCCGTAATAGATATCTCGAGTACGATAAACATTTCACGCTAATACTCTGCTGAAATCCCATCGAAAAGCATAGAAAAATGCAACGTGTGCCGGGAAAACGGAATTTTCAACGTGAAATTTCGTTCGGTGCGGTGTTACAATAGGCGAGCGTTGTTCGCTCACGGCCGCAAGGTAATCCGATGGCATTTTCGTGGTAGCTAACTTCGCGACAGGTAAGAAGCTTAAAACGCTACCGCCTGTATGCACCGTGCACACAATGTACAACACAACACGAACACGTTTTGACGAGTTTCGTGCGCCGAGATATCACGCGATAAAGCAACGTCGAATCGCCTAGTCGAGTCGAAAGTAGACTTCAGTCGTGATCAAACGTAAAAAGAATCCTTGAAAGAAGCCGAAAGCTTTGACATTTAAAAAAAACATCATTGAATATTTCCATGAATCTATGATCGATTGAAAAGAAAACAATATGGACTTTTATGATCTTTTCAATTCATTTTCCTTTGGAAAATAAAGTTTAGATGTGCTCTATCATTGGTGCGTGATGTTCTTTAAAAAAAGCGAAAAGATCAATAAGAATCGAATAGACAATTGATCGAGTTTCCTTCGTCGTATCCTTCTTCCCCATTTAATTATCGTTCAACCACCGATTACGTTCGCCGCTTTCCACTCGCAAGCTCTAACGACGATCAGTTACCGATATTCTCCATTTAATACTGGAAATTACCAAGTTTCCAACCCCCTTCCCCGCTCTGTTGGTTCATTTTTCATCGTTTAATAGAGATACTACCCTACACCCGGTTATAATGTTTCATGAATTTTCAATACATTAATTATGCATGCTCTTGCACTCCCATTAACCCGTTCGTGACCAGCTTCTTATTACAAGACCATCCACTGCAGCTACGATTTCTCCTATTTAAACTTTAATTATTTAGGATACAAATAGTTGATTTGCAAATTTCAGCTTCAAGGATTATAAGGATAAAGACGACGGATTCGACACACGGTACTTGGGCTTCTAAATTAACATTTTTAACTCTCGTTCCACCAGTATTATTTTCCCGCATTAATAATAATTAGGAAAATGATAACCTACACTTAATTTGCACATATTCTACATATAGAATTTAGTAACTGATATTCGGCCTGATATTCAATGATGAACCATAATGTCTTAAAGGGGTTAAGAGGTAGATCCTGGCAATAAATCGTAACCCTTTTCTGCGAAGAAGGCTCTCGATCGTCGTGGATCGATTTTCATCGCTAGTGACGATGACTGAAACGATTGAGACCGTTCGAGCAGACGAAGGTCGAAGACGAAACGATGGTGAAGAGAGGGGACAAAAGACACGAGCACAGGGGGCTCGAAGCAAAGGTAGACGCGGTAAGGGGATGGGTTACCTTATCGGACGAGCCGACGAGCCGTGAAATCGATAGCTCGATACTTTGCGCCGCGCCGTCGCGAGCGGCCTCGTTCCGGCGTGAAATCTTTCTAACGAGTTTCCGCGTTTTCTGAAACCATCCCTCCCCTATCACCTCTACCCGGTGCCGCGATCCACCGCGAATTTCCTTCGATACTTTTCCGACCGATCCGTTTCCTCGACTTCTCGACTTCTACGTTCCTTTCCGCGGCTTGTCGCGCGTTTTCCGTCATGAAAACGGTATACAGCGGGGCGGTGAGTTGAAAAACGCGATTCGAGAATCACCAAGTGGTTCGAGAAATTGAAAATTACTCTCCGAGTGGAAGAGCCAGATTGAAGTTAATCCATTTTCACCACTGATTTTTGAAATATTACAGTTCAATTTGTCAGTACCTTATAGTATTTAATTAGAAGAGTAGTTGAAATTTGTTTTCTAAAGTATTTGTAAACTTTGAAAATTTTGAACTTTGAAAACTTCAAATTTATACTAATTATAATGTGTTGTATTTGATACACTATAGTGCTATGCAAATAGGGGCTATACAAGTATAAAAATTATTACAATAATCACAGTGTGTGATTATAAAAATATAGGAAAAAGAATGACGAGGTAGAGAAGTAAACACGTAGCGATTCCTCTAACGTAAGTGGAACAATCAATCATAAGATGCGATGTCTGACCTATTGCAGGGTTATACTACTGCCACTGCTTATCACTCACTGCCAGTTTATACTGTACTTATGATATCAAAAAATATTAGTTATGAATGAAATTTCTATATCAAAAGTTTCAAAATAAAACACTTAATATTTCAAACTAGATGAAAAATAAAGAATTAGAAGAAGACTGAAATTTTTTGTATATCCAATTTGAATTCAAGAAATTACAATTTCTTTCCTTTTCCATGTCAAGTGATATATCCTCCTTAATTAAATTAATTATTTCCCTTACAAAAACGATACAAACTACAAAACACATTTCTATATTTCCATATTTCTATCGTCAAATATTTGAAAGTGCCCACAGTGTACGAAAGTTGTTGATAAATATCCGAAATAGCAGGGTAATGGTCGAGGCGTTTAGCGAAGTTGAAAACTGTTCAATAATCCATGAAGTCCGGCAAGCTAAACGAAAACTGCAAGAGTAAAGAGTTTCCAGGCCGGCCACCAGTGAAATTTCCTCTTTCCAATTTTCCACCAGCCAACTAGTCGCTACATCGAGCTCGTTAGCCACCGCTCTCTCTCCCTTTTTTTTTTTTTTTTTTATCATCCCGCTCGACGCTGGATTTCTTAATTGAGCTTCGAGAAAAAGGTCGGAAGTTGCTTATCCAGTTTTCAATTTCCTGTTATCAGACTCGGCCGTTGCCAGGATAAAGGAAGGACTAACTTACTACGCGATAATCGGTCGGAATCTTGATTGTCTAGGGAATCGCGAATATCCATTTCCGATAGTAACGTCCAAGAGGACTTTCGAGTGGCGTGGTAAGAAGCACGCTACCCGTCCACCGATCGTTCATCGATAAGGAGCCTCGATAAGACGGCTGATAAAACGGCGCCAATTGTAACTGGACGCGAACGTTTCGTGAACGTTTCGAACGGAAACACGCGTCAAACTTGAAAGCAGATTTCTCGTTAACGAGAAAGGCTTATTCTATTCTAATGTTGTATAGAAATATTTATCAAAACTTGCCTATCAAACTTTATTATCTATAAGAAATCTTTGATAAATTTATTTTAATACAAAAGGGTAAAAGTTATGAACTCTGACATATTAATTTCCATGAGTTGAATAACAATGCTATATGATTAAAAAAAAAGAAAAGAAATTTGAATAATTTGAATAGTCCTTTATCTCAAGATAATCTTACCGACTTCAAGGCCTAGATCGAACAACTTAACCAGGACACAGCATGAGGCCATGTAATCAGAATAAAGATACCCAAATAGCCTGGTTACCAAGAATTTCTAAATCACGAATCAACGGTATTAATCATTCTCGAAACTGGTAGCAGTGATTTCAATGTAACTCTAAAATAATCCCCTTTGGACACGATCCACTTCTGTCAAGGAGAGAAAGGCAGACAAAGAAATTGGCTGATCATAATAAAGTGTAAGAAGTGATCGATGAGTCGTGACAAGAAGAGTATCCTGTTAC